TTCTTGGCCCAGGATGAAACAAAGTGGAAAGGAAGGTGGACATGGGGCAGGCGCCTCCATTTACACCTTTGCCTTATCCTGTCCATGCTAAGGGTGGACTTGAGTAAAAGGGTAGGAGAGACTGGGTGTATGGCAGGTAAATTAATTTTATTTATATACTATTGCAAGTATAAAATATATGATATTGAATTGGGCATAGATTAGGCACTCTTGTAGAGGTCTCACCCAACACCATGTAAAACATGAAAAATGTACCACATTAAGTACTTATTTTTTTGCTTCAAAATATTAAGAAATTTTTATACTTCTGTTTCTGATAGAATTGGGCCACGAGAAACTTGTTTAATTTACAATTGGCCATGATTTGATTTTGTGGCAATTTTTATGTGTATTTGGAAACTCTTGTGAAGAAGAAAGACATAACCAACAAATTATTTGGAAAAATAAAGCAAACTTCTTGAGTTTTTATTTGAATATTTTTAAGTTGACAAAATGGCATGTTACTATTTAATTATGCAAAATCAAAATGTTCTTTAATTTTGATTATGAGTTTTATTTTGTAAAACTAGTTTTTTCAGGTATCATGTATTTCCTTTTGCCCCTGAAAAGCTTACATTATATTTAATGAATTTGATTTTCATAATATGGCTTGATACGTTAGGTCCTAGATTGAGACTGTACTGTTTGGTACAGTAGCTACTAGCCAGATGTGATGATTTACATTTAAATTAATTAATATTAAGTAAAGTTAAAAGCTCAGTTCTTTTAATGCACCAGCTACATTTCTGGGACCCAATAGCCATGGGTGTGTAGTAGCTGCCATATTGAAGGACACAAATAGAGAACATTGGCATCATCAGGCAAAGTTTCATTGAATAGCACTGATCAAGGCCACTTTCAGCCATGAAATTTCAGAGAGTGATACTGTTTGTAGACTCCAGATCAAGTTAGTTGTGAAGTATTGGGAGAAAGCTTTCCCCAACAGAATGTAAAAAAAGGGGTGTGAAGAAGACAGATAATATTTGCAGACTGCTTTGGAGGTAGCTCTCCTAACCAAGTACATATAACAAAGAACTGAGTACAGAGTGAAAATAAAGCTTGGAGTAAAACACAAACAAGGAAGTGGGTATAACAGCTGATTGAACTGATTTTCTTTTTAATTGAAAACTTTGAAAATTAGGACTTGCTCCTTGCAGGAAAATGAGAGACAATTTAGTCAAAGATGAGAAAATCAGATTCAGGTATCTGTCTGTTGCATCCAGAGGAAGAAGCAGATCTCCAAGATAACACAGAGGAAAGAGCAGCAAATCTGGCCACTGATTATTAAGTGTGATGAGGTAAAAGAAGCTCTTGGGAGACAGCAGAGGAAAAGGAGATGGTTCCACAGACTCAGAGCCATTGAGAACAGTCCAGGTTGTGAGACTGGAACAGCCTTGGGAGGAAACAGACTCTGGTGTTTATCTTTTTTTTCCATTGACAGGGTGGTCAGAAGGTGTCACCCATCCGAAAACAGGAAGAAATGTGGGATTTGGTGGGGTTAGGGGTCAGTAGGTAAATCATTCACAAAAAAACGAAGGCTTAGAGACCTAAACAGATGGGCTTTCTCAGGAAGGAAGAAAATAACCAGAATCCTTGTTTGAGAGAGGCTCTGCCCAGTGAGGAAGATAAGACATTGCCTAAAGGAATGCAAAAGAAAGGGTCAGTAGGATGCCCAAAGTCCAGAAGAGGGAGAGCTCTGAAGGTCAGCTGTAATTGGAAGATCTCAGGGAAAGGCAACAGCATGGGTGTAGAAAAGATCTTAAGAATAGAAAATGATAGACCTGTAAGTCCTCTATCACTAAACCTTTCTCATAGTCCCTGACTATGGAGGCCAGAAATACCTTGGCCTTAGGTCATGATGAATCAGACAGAAAATTCTGGGATCAGTACATTTCATTCCTAGGAGTTGCGCATAACTGGTTCGTGGGTTGACGGCAGAAGGGAAATGGTTCTGTAGGCCAGTGTTTAAAAGGTCAGAGGCACACAGACACAGTTACTCAGTACGAACAACCTCAGCTTGCAAGGCAGTTGGTGTTCCAGAGTGCTTTTCTTCAGCACTCTGTCTCATTTGAGCCCTGGCATGCATCCTGTAGGAAGGCCCTTCTCCTCTCCCATTTCACACATGGCTGATGAACTGACAGATAAGAAGAGGTTTGTTTGTTTGTTTGGGTAGAGCAGTAAGGAGCTAAAAACAAGCCAGGAATGTCAACTCTACTTTAGTTGTCTCTTCTAGGTCTTCTTCCTACATTCCATATGCTACATTTGGGAGTTTACAGTATGTTTGCAATAATAACCAGGCTGTAACTGTCTGGTTTTTTGAACACACCATCAAATTTTGCTCAGTAGAGTCTTAATTGCTTTAGGACTGTTTAAGGCTCTAAGGTTCAACCTTGGCCAGAAAAGAAGAGAGAGCTTTTGAAGGTACGAGACTAGTTATGTGCTCATGTCTGTATTTTGTCTCAAACCAATTGGAATTATCTTATAAAGACCTTGTGTCTTTCTGATATTAACAAGTCTGCTTTGTCTCAGGGGACGAAGAGATCCATCCTCTACTTAACAACAGACTTTGCACTAAGAAAGTAAAACTGTCCGTAGAGTAAAGCTGTACCTTACTAGTAGCCACCTCCCCCACCATCAAAAAAAAAAAAAAAACTTGTTGAAAGAAGTGTATTTTTTTTTTTTTTTTTACAGGCAAAAGGGAGCCGCAATTCTTATTTGAGAACTTTAATCAAGTTTTCTGTCTGGGAGACATGGATTAGCAACTTGGTTTTATTTTGGTTTCTGCTGTGTATGTAAGAATGTGAAGAGACAGTAAGTCTGATTTAATGAACGGTTGAAATAAGAAAAAGAGCAATCCCTTCTTATCGGTTCTCTGGTTTACAGTGTGCTGATGCTCTTGACCTCTTCAAGGGCCCCCATTTAGCTTTCCAGTTTCTTCTGACAATTTTAATACAACCTACCATCTCATCCACATAGAAAGTCCCCAATATACAATCATGTTTTATGCCTCTGTATACACCTCTATAAACCTCTAGTATGATGTTTATTACTCTGTTCAGTTATTACTTGTTTATAAATCTTCTCCATCTATAGATTTTGAAAGCATATGGGTTAAGGATCTTGCCTAATGATCTCTGTGATTGGGTGACAGCCTCATTCAAAATTTCTTTTGTTTGTTTTGGGGAACCCAGAGGTGCTTAAGCACTGAGCCATATTACCAGTCCTTTTAGTTTTTATTTTGAGAAAGAATCTTGCTAAGTTGCTTAAGGCCTTGCTAAGTTGCTGAGGCTGGCCTTGAACTTGCTGTCTTTCTGTGTAGCCTCCCTAGCTGGGATTTCAGTCATGCGCCACCACACACAGCCCAAAATATTTTAATGTCAAACATCAGTTTATGAACCAGGTGTTTGCTGAGGAGAGATGTGAATGTGCAATAGAGTTTAGTGGAAGAGAAAAGAGCTGAAGTGTGAATTCCGATTAAAAAGGAGTAAGCATTTCTGTCTCTGGAATACTTACGCTAGCATTCCATTTTTAACCACTTTATGTATCACTGACTTAATAAATAGTTCAACCTCAAGGAGAGTCTTCTTGGTGTCTCATTCTCTGTCATTGCATAGAACTTATATTTTGGATCACTTGAAGAAGGCACCTTGTCATGGTGGAAACATTTAGTTCTTCTGTGGAATAACAGAAATGGGAGGACAATGAAGCCTCTTGGGTTGAACTTGGAATACATCATTTAAAGTGGCAGCAAGTGACGTAGTAAGCCAATGGAGTGAGCTAATTGGGGAAAATGATACATAATTTATAATCTTGAAAATGAATGTCAAATCCTTCAAAAATGATTAGAATTTTTCTTCAGAGGCAGTTTAGGTACTTTTTTTTGTTATACTTAAGAAGCGTTTTAAAGAACATACACTCTATAGAGTATTAATAAGCATTGTGTTTTTAAAAAGCTTCACTGTAAACTTTTGAAAATATTGGTTTTAAAGAATCAAAGTGGGATCTTTACTATTGTCTTTAACATTTGATGGTGTTGGGGCTGGGGATGTGGCTCAAGCGGTAGCACGCTCACCTGGCATGCGTGCGGCCCAGGTTCGACCCTCAGCACCACATACAAACAAAGATGTTGTGTCCGCTGAAAACTAAAAAAATAAATATTAAAATTCTCTCTCTCTCTCTCTCTCTCTCTCTTTAAAAAACAAAAAGATTTGATGGTGCATTATAAATCTTCAAGAGACTTATGTGGCATAGAGTAGTTTACATTTTCCTGACCACAGTCTCTTTTCTCTTTCTTAATATTAATGCAGGGCTCTTCTCTTTTAATGAAACACTTTGATAAATGTTTTACATAAAGAGTTCCATAAGAACTTAGTTCCCCACAAAACACCACATATTAATTATACCAGTAGTAACATTTTGTCCTCACACTTCTGCTTGCCAGCCTGAGACTGAATATGATTCAAAGGATATCTATTTATTTGTTTATTTTATTTTATTGGTCCTGGTGATAGAACCTTACCACTGAGATACACCCCCAGTCATTTTTATTTTAAATTTTGATTTTGAGACAGGATCTTGCTAGGTTACTGTGGGTCTCTCTAAGTTGCTGAGGCTGGCCTCAAACTTGGGATCCTTCTGCCTCTGTGTCAGCTGAAGATTTCCTATTTTCACAATAAATAAAACAAGGTGGGAATGAGGTTGGAGAGCAAGAGGAGTGTTTTTCAGAATGAATTAGTGCTTGATGTAGGCCCAAACATTTCAAGAAATGACATGTATTTGAGCAATGATCACGAGATAGAAACGGCAGTGAATCTCACAATGTAGGCAGTGTGTTTGACAAAAAAAAAAAAACAAAAAAAAAAAAAACAAAGCAAAACAAAAACAACCAAGTTAACATTATCCTGTAATTTGTTTTTAACAAAATTTCCTGATCAAATTTCAAATGACAATTTGTACTTTTCTATTTTGGGGTGGTTGGGGGTCTTTTTCTTTCTTCCTTGAAAGAACAGACAGGAAATGATTCTTGCCACTCAGTCGAAGGGGGCATATTTACCTAGTTCCTCATGATGTGACCAGGAAATCCTGTGTAGAAAAAAAAGTCATTGAAAAAGGAGGGGAAAAAACGTAGCCTGCTTATGTTTTCTTAAACTCCTGCCCCACTCAGGGAGCCATTGAAGATAAAGTCTCACTTTTTTTTTTTTTTTTTAAACAAATTTCATCACCCAGGTTCCTGCATTTGGATTTGCTTGTCTCCTGTTGTTGAAACCCTAAGGAAAGGATTTCAGATGCATTTTTCTTGCAGTCCAGGATTTCCCCAGGACCCACAGGAATGGTGGAATTTCCATGCCGAGGAGAAGGCATTATTGTTTTGCAGGTTTTTAACCTCATGCCCCACAGGCCTTTTGGTCTCCTGCTGATGTCTGTGAGCTGCACCTCAAAGGCAGAAATGAACAGGCTCTGTGATCTCTCTCCTGAATGACAGTGACGCTGCCAGCCAGGAGGGGGCTGTCACTTCGGATTCCACAGCAACTTGAGCAGCTGCAGCTGCTGCCTCAGGGAAAACCAGATGCACCCATGTTTCCAATGCACATTCAGGTTTCTTAGGAATGTACAGACTTGTCGCAGTTGCTTTGCAGGACTCTGGTATTTGAAATCTGTCACAAAGCCAATTCCAATTTGGGTAATAATATGATAACTCTTTGAGCGCTAGGCGCCACGTACTAAATTTTACTTGAGGGTTCACACATTCTTGCCGACAAGTTCTATGAACCCCGTGTTATAAATAGGGAAACTACCCAGAGTGTCTAAGGGTACATGGTGAGTCAGTTCTATAAATGGTAATCTGGCGGCACATCTATTCTCTAATAACTTTTATCTATTTTTTTTTCTCCTCATAAAATATTCTGTCCTCAGGCATGGTGGGGGCCATTTGTTAACACCTGGCTATGAAGAATTAGCAACTTAAATAAGTTGCTCTGAATCTTTAAAAAAATTTTTTTTAAAGTTGTTGATGGACCTTTATTTTATTTACTTATTTATATGTGGTGCTGGGAATGGAATGCAATGCCTCAAGTGCTCTACCGCTGAGCTACAACTCCACCCTCTGCCCTGAATATTGTTTGGAAGAAGTACTGTTGTAGTTTAGGGTCAGAAAATGAGGGCTTTTATATTATATGTATTTGTCTGTAGTGGTTATTGGTTTTCAAATGTGAGTTACTCTCAAATTTCCTTTCTTTCTAGAGGAGGCAGAGGCTTCATTCTCTTGATCCTCTATTTTCTTCCAGCTGTTTCCAAGTTTGCTGTTTTTGACACTTTAGAAAGTGTGAGCATGAAAATTTAAGATTAGATCACAGAAAGCAAGGTTTTAAAGGCCATAATTCTTCCTTTTTCTTTTGACTTTGGAAATTTATTTGGTAAAAAGTTATAGAGAAGTCTGAATAAAGTGACAGTAGTGCTTAAAATGTAGGTGAGCTACTGGGGCTGTAGCTCAATGGCAGCCTACCTGCTTAGCATGTGTGAGGCACTGGGTTCCATCCTCAGCACCACATAAAAATAAACAAATAAAATAAAGGCCTTCTGTCCTTCTACAACTACATTTTTTTTTTTTTTAATGTAGGTGAGCTTGAAATGTGCCAAAAGACACACAGGATATCCAAATCAGATCTGGAGCGTATGGCTGAGGGTCAGGATGTCCAAGAGATGGAGATGTCATCTTCAAGATGTGTACATGAGAAAGCTGCAATTAAGTTCTCCCTGAAATGCTAGAAGCAGTGAAATGTTGTTCAATCTATGAAAATGGGGCCAGAAAATCTCTACTTACTGTTGTATCAGGTGTGACAAGAACATTTTTCTTTGATACATTTGCGCAGGTCAAAGTGTCACCTTCAAAAAGAAAGTAGGCAAAACAGCCGTGGATCAGTCATAATTAATATTTGCCACAATGTTCAGATTTTTAAGCCAATGAAATAAGCATAAGCTGTTCCCAAACAACCCACATTCAGACTATGTATGAGAAACACACTGACAGGGAAGAATCAATAGAAAAAAAGATGAGAAAAGGTACACCATGCCAATATTAATTAAAAAGAAAGAAGTGGCCTATTAATACTGGATAAAGTTGGCTTCAGAGCACTGAAAATTACCAAAGTGGGAGTATTATGTAATGACAAAAGGACCCAGCCATCAGGAAGATGAAACAAACCTAACTGCATATAGTCCAACAATATACATTAAGAAAAAATAAAACCACAAAGCAAAAATTAGTAGAGTTGGAAAGGGAAGTCGACAAATTCAAAGTTTGAATATCAAGACTGAAGAAGACTTGAACAAATACAAGAGATCTATGAACATGCAAAAACACTGCACTTTACAAAAGCAGAATATATATTTTTTAAAGTATCTATGGAAAAGTAATCAAGATATATCATATTCTGGACTAAAATACAAACAAACAAACAAAAACTGAAATCATGTAGTCCTTTTAGTCCTGATGAAGTCAAACTAGACATTAATACCAGAAAGACAACAGGAACATTTTCAAATACTTATAAATTAAATAATACACTTATAAATATTAATGGATTAAGAGGTAAGTAAATAAGAAATGACAGATACAGCCAAAATGAAAATACAGTATATCAGATAAGTGGAATTAAGTGGTATTAAATGTTTGCATGAAAATAAAGTTTTCAAATCAGTAATTTAATTTTTACTTCAAGAAACTATAAGATGAATAGCAAAATAAACCCAAAGCAAACAGAATAAAGGAAATAAAATAAGAAGCAGAAATCATTGTATTTGAAAATAAGATAAAAATACAGAAAATTAATGAAAAAAGCCGGTTTGTAAAAAAGTATATGAAAATGATAAACTACTATCAAGACTAATTAAAATAAGATTGATAAAAATAAGAAGTGAAAACTAGAAATCACCAATATCAGGAATTAAACAGAAGATTTCACTACTTACATTGTAGCTGATAAGAGAATAAGAAAGGAACCTTACAATCGTGAATTTTATAGTTGGAGTAAAGTTGACTAACTCTTTGAAAAGCTCAAATTACCACAGCTACAACAAGAAAAAAGTTAAGTAGACTTGCAATCGGTTGAGAAATTGAATTCACAGTTATAAAGCTCTTAAAAAAAAAGGAACAAAAGAAAAAAAAAATCTCCAAACCCAGATGGCTTCACTGGTGAATTGTGTAACACATTTAGAGAAGTATTAGCATCAATTTCTTACAACATCTTTCAGAAGACAAGAATACAGTTTCCAAATCATTTTACATAATCAGTATTATTCTGATATCAAAACCTGTCAAAAATAGTTTTGTAAAAAAAAAAAGAAAACAAAAAACTAGAAAACTACAGAGCAACATCTCTCATCAACTTAGATGCAGAAATCTTCAGTAAAATGTCAGCAAACTGAATCTAACAATACATAAACCAACTGTATACCATGATCAGGTGGCATTTGTTGAGGTACACAAGGTTATTTCAACATTTCACTCACATTTGACATAATCCATGATATTAACAGGCTAGTGGAGAAGAATTCATATGATCATATCAATTCTTAGAGAAAATAATTTGTTCACATCTAACATCTACTTAGGATTAAAAAAAAATAAACAACTTAGCCCATTAGGAGTAGAAGGAAATCACCTCAACTTGTTAAAGAATGAATAAATAAATAAACTCACAACTAATTTTATGCTTAATCTGAAAGACTGAATAAGATAGAGAACAAGGCAAAGATTCTGTTCTCTTTCCCCTCACTCAACAAAGTACTAGAATTCTAGACACAGCAATAAGAAAAAGAAATAAAATACATATAGATTAGAAATGAGAAAATAAACAATCTCTATTTGGAAAAAAATGATTGTCTACATTAAAAAATATCTAGGAATCTTTAAAAAAAAACAAAATATCTCTACAATTAATGAGTTTAGCAAGGTTGTAGGATACAAGAACAACACACAAAAATCAATGGTATTTCTTTATATGAACAAGAAAGACTCAGTAGCAGAAATTAAAAACACAATATTTGTAAACATTAAAAAGAAAATTAAAAACTTATGTACTGAATGAAATGTGTACAGCATCTGTTTTAAAAAACGCTGATGAAAGAAATCAAGGAAAACCTAAACAAATAGACCTATCTTGTTAATGAATTGAAAGGCTTAACACAGTAAAAATGCCAATATACTCAAATTGAGGTACAGATTTATTATAAAAATCTCTGTGACATAATTTTTAGACATAGACAAGTTTATTCTAAAATTTATATGGAAAGGCACAAGACCTAGAACAGCTGAAATAATCCTTTCAAAGAAAAATGTGGGGGGAATAACCCAACTTAATGAAAAGTTTTACCATTTATATTATTCAAGACAGTGAGGTTGGCTAGGAGATGAACATGGATTAATAGAATAAAAACCAGAAATTGACTCACACAAATACACTCAACTATTTTTGACAAAGGCACAAAAACAATTCAGTGGCAGAAGGATAGCTTTTTCAACAATGGTAGAAACAGTGTTCTGAAAAAATTGAATATTCATAGGCTAAAGAATGAATCTCTACCTAAATCTCATATTGCTTAACAACTCAAAATGAAAACAAACGTCAAAGCTAAAACTGTAAAACTAAATTTGGACATATATGCAAATGATATATAAAACACACTCAGAAATGAATATAATAATAGGGAAAATCTTAATTAAGTAAATTAGACAATGTCAGTATCTTTGTTATGATACTGTTCTATCATTTTGCAAGATGCCTATTTTAGGAGAAACTGAGCAAACAGTACACGGGATCTCTCAGTTTACTTCTTGCAATAGTATTATTTCTTGCAACTGTATGCGAATTTACCATTTTCTCAATAAAGTTTTCAATTAAAAAATTGATCTTGAGCTGATGAAACCTGTAGTACCAAACAAACCACAGAAAATTGAGAAACTACTCTGTAGAAATGCTTCTACAATGCAGACCCCCTTAAAACTCTTAGTTTATGAAAATAACACTGTTAGCACTTATGAAATGCTATAACAAAATACCTTATACTGGGTGCTTATAAACAAAAGATGTTTATTTCTTACAGTTTGGGAGCAAGGGAAGTCCAAGATCAACATGCTGGCAGATTTGATGTGTGCTCCTGTTGACTGGTTCATAGATGGTGACTTTTCTAGCTCTCTTTCCTCATGCTGGAAGAGAGGAACTACTAGCTCTCTCTTTCATGGGGGTACTAATCCTATTCATTGGATCTCTGCAAATACTACTAAAAAGAAGCTCATGATCAAGAATTTCAAGCCACATGAGAAAATGAAGTACTACAAAATAATGTCAGCAGATGCAATAATTAAGAGATTTATATCCAACAATTTGATATAGAACACATTGAAAAACTTTAACTTAGGATGTTCAAAATTTTCAAGGAAATGCTAAGAGGACAAGAAAATAATCCAGAACATTGGAAAATAACAGAAGGATTGAATAGACAAACTATTGAAAAGTATAGACATAAAAGTATATTGAATAAAATGAATTCCGTAAGTGGATTAAAATAGCAGATTAGGCATAACTCAGGAGAGAATTGACCAGAAAGGTATGAGAAAATTGACCTGGATGTAGTATGGAAAGATGAGGAGATAGAAAATATAAATTATCAGTAAAGAGATGATAAAGGCTGAAATTAAAGAATAGGAAGAAAAAACATACTCAAGAGACTGATGGAATCCTCTGGATTCAGTTATGGAAGGTGTGAGGGATTTGTGGAGGTGGGGTTTGGTAATGAGTCTTAGGTTTCTATCTTAGGAGAAAGGGGAGTTTGAGATATCTGCTGAATACTTAAGTGTGTCCTGTTCAGTTGTGTTTATAATCCCAGGCCTCAGGCAAAAGCAACACTTTGAAGGGGAATTGCTTTTCAGAAAAGCAAACTGAAGCCTGAAAATGGTATAAACTTTTGTCCTGTGGAAAAGCAAAATTCACACCTACAGGTCAGAAAGACTGATTGACAAACAACTAATTCAAATAGAGTGTGGAGTAGGTGAAGACTGATATGAAGAGTGAAAGCCTTTGTTTTGTACAAATTCTTAGTAGGCCATGTGATAAAGAGTAGCCTAATGGTTCACTTACATAAAACTCTGTATATACTGCAACAAGTGAGCATTTTACCCTGACACATAGCTGACTAAAGAGAAATTTTGTTCAAGGATAAGTGAAATAAGTTAGCTTCTCTAGGGAAGTCACTGTTATAGATAGAACAAAGGGCTCATCACTAGAGTTAATTATTGATTTTAGGAAGGTGAGAACCACTCAACATAATTTCCACTTAAATATAGTTCAAAGGGGGTGTATTTGCAGATAGTATCTGTTGAGCTTTAATCAATAGTGAATGAGGGGGATGCCCCAATTTATTTATTTATTAATATATTGTGTCCAAGTCAATAAATTTACAACTATTCTTAATTTGCTTTTATTTACTACCTTTTCTGTTTCCTAGGACACAACATTATAATAATGCTATTGTAATCTCCGATTCAAATCAAAGAGATAGAGACTGTGACACTTAGATTATACAAGTCAGTACTATTACAACAGGTTCAATCAATTTGTTTACCGATTTGCTAAAATTTATTGAGTATTTAAACCATACTGCAAATAACAATTAGGAAAATTTTCTATTTCAGAAGATACTTGAGCAGTGAAGGGAAATAATTCAGAATTCTTGATTTTGTGGTCAAAGACACCTGCTTTGTGGACCACTAGTTGCTTGGTTTTGAGGCAGTTAAGAAGTGTCTCCCTGCCTTCATGAATGAAAGGTGACAATAAAATGACCCACCTCAAAAGAGTGAAGATTGCCTAACTCTAGCCTGTGTAAGGACAGCATTCCTGTGCTCTGCTGAGTTACTCATGATGGATAAAACAGTGCATTCAGGCTGTCTGTATCTGAGTTCTTCCATTTTGTGAGGCAGCAGCTTGCCATAAGCTACTCCATTTTCAGTTTAAGGGCTGAGGTGGTGTGTCGCCACATCCTGTTTGAACAAGTAATCAACCATCCTCTGTCTGGCACAATCATAAGGCATAAACTGATAAATAAGTTAATCCTGCTAATAAGAATGACCACTGTGAACTTATTGAATTAATCAGAAGTACGCAGATGCATGGGCATATCAAACTCATATTGAAAAATCAGGCCCATGAGCATATCAAGCACTCCAGATCACCAAATGCTGCAAACCCTCGTTAGAGACCCATAAAAGGAGGGACACCCTGAGACTGGACAGAGCGGCACCCTGACCCCCTTACCTGGTCACTTGTCAGGAGTCTTTCCTAGGAAAATCACCACAGTTGCATACCCTGAGAAGCTACCACCTTCCAGACCTTGGCCTAGAAACAGTACTTGTATATTGACAGCTCCGTGCCCTGAACAATTCCTTGGCGAGCTCATAATCTTATCTGACACCCTGTAGTGACTCTCTGTGTCTATATCTGCCCTCTGCCTTTGCACTCAGTTCACTCTCCTGAAACCCTGTGGCTGCCTCAACCCTTTCTTAGCCTTTCTGTCTTATATCTCTCTCTCTCCTGGCTGATGACTAACAGGTGACCCACAAGAATTCAGTGAATTGCCACTGATGAAAGTGGTATAACCTGTGAATTTATTGTTTTTCAATAAATGTTGACATTGTGGAGAAACACAACAGTGTTTGGTATAGGTTAATGACAGCATGCTCACGACAACGTAATATTCAATGCCTAGTAGACAGTGTTAAAAAAAAAAGTTAGGTTTCACTACAATTTGACATTTTCTTGCTGCTGTCATTTTATAATCAACCATCAATTCTATTAATGAGAAAGCTTTAATATGGAGTATTTTGACTTATAGTTTTCTGTACGCAGTTGGTGTCAAAGCACAGCCTTCAATGATAGAGGTCGTGTAAAATTAGAAAGGAAGAAAGTCACTTATATTTAGCAGCTGTGTCACAGGCACTGAGAAAGGAACTTACACATATGCTCTCTCATTCAACCTGCCTCAGAGCCTTGTGGAACAGTGGCTATTCTCA